AAGCTCTTCCCAGTTTCTCCATGAAGGGAGGCCAAAAAATGTGTTTTCCAGGCGCAAGTTGGTTTCTTGCAAGGGCGCCGTACCCCTCTGAACATCAGGCAAAGGGCTATGATCATGTTCCTTTTTGTTTTTCAGAGCCGGACTCCCCAAAGACCTAGGCCGAAGCTTGCTTTTGTCCGCCACCATGGAAAGCAGTCGACCATCCAGTACGTGATTCTTGTAAGAGCCTGAAGCAGTTGATGCATCAGCAGTACCATTGGAGCAATTCGCCTCTCCGCCAGATTGGGCGAGCAACATGTTGAAAGTTTCTTGAGATTTCGCAGTCACACCTCTTGCAGCTTTGACTCATAAGTCGACTTCAATGTACAAAGGATCAACATTTGTTTCCAGACGCAAAGACCAAAAGTCCAGTTCACGGAGGTCAGAGGTTGGCAGACCCGTTGCAAGGTGCCAGCTGAGTACTATGACGGCGCGCTCCTGGCGATGGTGCTGCGTGCCCTCAGTGCCTTGCCCGAAGTTGACCGCCAACATGTCGCATGGGTGTTATGTGGTCTCATCCTTGCAACAGGGTGATGTACACCAGCTGACCGCTGGGCAGACGAGGCTTTAAGCCGCGGAAGGTAGCGCAATGGGGGCTGGGTATGTTTTCATGGCCGCGCTGTTGACTTGCAAGGGCATAGGATGTGAAAGGTGGGCAACACTGGACACACGATGATTTAATATGGCCTGAATTCAACTCACAGGCTTTCGCCAAGCAATGTATTGACCCAAACAACCAGATCACGGCGCGTGCGCGCACACACACACACGAGTGCAGGGCGCAAGGGAGCCGGGGAACATGGCCTCATAGTTTGCTTGGTCCATTCAACTTTGAAGAGCATTTCAACCACCAAGTAAGAGAGACCTTGAATCATTGCAGTGCATGTGTTCATGCCATGGAAACGGGAGAATAGTGCAAAGTGCTTGAGAACCGGACAAGGCCTGAAACTCATCAAGCTCCAACGGAGCTTGGGATCCTGTATTTATTCCCTTGCAGGCTCTTCAATTCAATTACCAACCAAGACCCACCAACGGCAATCACATGGTTTGTTTACTACCTTGTTTGCAGCTATTCTGGGGGCCATTTGACATTGGCAGGGGTGGAAAGGTAGCTCCCAGGCACCCGGTGCTTTTGTTGCTCCTCGAGGCATTCAAAGTAGACTACCAACAAACAAATGCCCTTTATTTCTTTTCCTTTGAGAATTTGAGAGGGTTTTAAACCAAGGAATTCCTTTTGGCCTTCAATAAACCAACAAAAGTTGGTGCCTCAGGTTGCCGGCATCTTCGCGCTGAGGCCCCTTGGCGGGCGGAGCCCACAAGCCACTGCGCCGCGAGATGTTGCGCCGGGCGGCGCTCTGCCTGCGGCCTGGCGGCCTGTTGGCCCTACGCCCCAGGGATGGCTTCAGCTGCCATTGGAATGTTGGATGGTTGCGAGCTCCAGGTCGGACGGTTCCTAAGAGTCCAACAAAACAACAAAGACATCCATTCCCCTGCAACTGCCAACACACCATGGTTTCAACCATGATTTCAAAAAAGGTGCAGGATGGTTGCACACTCCAGTTCGCACCGTTCATAAACCATCATAAACCCTGACACGATCCGATTCCCCTGCAAATGCCAACAAACCATGTTTTTTTCTTTTTTTTTTGAAAAACGGGTGCAGGATCTCGTCCATCCACAGTATGGCCATACATGTTATAGAACGTTTATAAACGGTTTGGGGTGCGTTGTATGACTATATAATGTCCACCTCTGATTAATAAAAGTCTAGCAATACTACTTTTTGATTTGTTCACGGTCGGGTTCCAGGAAGTGTGGCAATTCTACTTTTGATTTGGTTGTGTATTGTGATCAATTCCAGGAAGTTTGGCAATACTACTTCAAAAGGGAAACGCTACCTTTGAGTTGTATTGTACTACGTCAGGTTCTGGAAATTCTAGCTTGGCCAGGAATATCGGCAGTACTTTTCAAAACGGGCATTGTGCTTTTGAATTGGGTTTGCATTAGACCCACATCACTAGCTTCATTCAGGGACAATGCTTTGTGGCCATAGTACGACCCTGGATCCATTTCCAGGAAGTGACTCAGATCATTACGTAGCTTCATTTAGTTTGGTATGGGCCGATTGCAACAGTATTTCGGGCAACAAAGCGTAAGTAACTATATTTACGGGAATTTCACTATTCAGTTTTGGGGTTTGATTAGTTTTACTCACGGGATATTTATTACTCATAGGTGGACATTACCCGTCATTTCTCCAAATCTGATTGAATACAGTGCATTAGCAGATGTTTCGTTTTTCTAAATGAGCTTTGGACATGTTGTATGGCCATATGTTTTGCTCATCTAAATGATTATAGATTATGTTGCATGGCCTTAGGACTAGTTTGTCTAAGTGAGTTTGGATATGCTGCCTGCCACATGTTTAGTTTATCTAGATGAGTTTGGATATGTTGCATGGCTATGTGTGTCCTTTCTCTAAATCAGTTTGCATATTTATTGCATCGCCACGTCTAAAAGAGGTGGGATATGTTGCATGGCCATGGAGAAAGTTTTTTTGGGGGGGCGGGGGGTTAGTCATTTTCTTTCACCAGCTCGAGCTAATGCTTGCGGGCTCCTGAAATCCAGATGCCCCCTCCTGAGGTCGTGATCGAACGATCTCCCCTTCGCAACATGCGCGGAGCCGAGTACGTGCCACCTCTTCGAGCTGTTGTGTCTACATTGGTGCGTTCTTATCGATTTGTCGTGCGCTCAATGAAGGGTGCCAAAATGATGGCCGCCCGTGCGGACACGCTGTGAAGGCAGAATAAACCACCGGGGTCCCAAAACGGAGCTTTCATTTTTAACATCCCTGCCGTGACACCTTATTTTCAACTCAGCCACGTATCAGGGTAGGCAAGCGATATAAACCGCCATTGACATTCAGGGACAAGCCCAACGGCGACCATCAGTCGGATTTGGGAGGGTTTTCTGTACGGTTCTGGGTTGGTTTTTGTTTGGGAAACCAAAATGAAACGTGCCCTTTTGGGTTTCTCGTAATTTTGAGAACCCATCCGTCCTCTCCATCGCACGCATTGCTAAGGGTTGGTGCAGCCTTCCAGGACGGCTTGGCGCGTTGCCTGCTTGGTCTGACTGGAGCGTGGGTACTTAGCAAGTGGTCAGTAAGCTTGGTTATAGCCCACTTCGGAGAGTTGCCACATACTATGGTTAGAAGTCTCCTAAGTGGGTTAGAACCAGGCTTACTAACCACGTACTAAGTACCTTGCCCCGCTAAATACCCGCTTTCCAACAATCATGAAACTGGACGATCGGGGGGGAGTCGTCTTCCAAAACCCTCTTGGGAGCTTCCATGATTGCTGCAGGGACGGCAGGGAATCACGAGGGGTTCGAGGTTTGGGAAAGCTGGGGATTCCCGAGGAACCCAGAAGGGATGGTGATGAAGCGGGTCATTTCCCTCATTCATTGTGATTGGTATTTAAGACGGTGGATGGAAAAATCCGCTTGGCACCAGTTGGTAGGTGGTCTATCCCGGAATTTGTAGGTGTTCACCCATCTCAACTGGTGCAGGATGTTTGTCCACAGTGGCAGCAGTCGACTATCGACGATCAACAGCCATGTTATTTATTAGAGACAAGCATGCTACCGGCAATGGTCAATGAAGGCATTTGTTGCGTTCTTCGTGACAGCTTTGAGTTCATCCCCACTGGATTTTGTGTGTTTATGCTTCAATGTGCACCCATGGCCTAAACCCACGCCAAGGCACACCACCCCTCCCACACCCATCCCATGGAGAGCTCAGAGCGGTCGAGGACGAGTTCTGGACAAAGTCTCGGCTGCGCTTGCAGAAGACGCTGCACACTCTGCGGGGCACAAAGGCTCGGGTCCCGGTCGGTGGAAACAGATTGAATCGGCAGGCGGTTCGGATGCACCTGAGGCTTAATCGACGGGCCATGGCCGTGCCTTTGTTTTCAGGACCCCAAAGTTGTAGTTTTCTTATGGTTTTCCTTTAAGAAGAAAAAACGGTACCCTCTAAAACGCCACATGCAAGTAGTAGAGGTCAAGGAGCGCCGAGCGATTTGGTAATAATTGCGCACAGGCTTCATACTGAGCGCTGCCAAGACTCATTCTCAGCAGCAGTTGTTTATTGATGATGTCGCCAGAGTCACAAACTCCAGAGGTGGCGTGGGGGCTAGGGGGTGCAGGCAACCAGCAATGAGGGGGGCATGTGGAATCAGCAGGTGAGGGCCAAGCGTGTTTGCCACCTCAGCCTGAACAAAAGACCCAGGCATGGTATTCCTTGGCCACGGATCGGGTACAAGTTTTCCCGCCCAACTTTCGAACATTTCCAAAACCCCGATTCCCTTGACCTGCCTGGCAAAACTCTGTAGCAACATGAGACTGCGCCCACCAGGTCACCAGGTACCTTGCTATCTCCCATGTGAGTTTTGTGTAAATGGCAATCACATCCAATTCCCTTGGACACCCAAAGTGAAAAGATGTTCGCTGTCCGGGTCAGCTCACCAATCTCAGAAAAGTTTCGCCGGTAGCTGACAAGTCATTCCTTGATGTTGCGCGCTGAATTGGGAGAATGCAACAAGCACAACCACACGAGCCCCGGGTTCAAAACGGCTTTCGCTTGCGCTCCCCGGGGATCTTCGACCTCAGGTCTACCTCTTGGAGCGCCTGCCTGGTGTGGTGGAGAGCGAGCAAAAAGCATCCGCGCCGATCGGGGGATCTGGCGGATTTTTTGATGGGTGGAGAGTCTTCCCTGCCCAGATATCTCGGTCACCGGTGGATGGGGCAAGTAGGACATGCGCTCGTGCCCCTAGCGAAGAGTCATACCATCAAGCCAAGCGCAAGGCAAGCAAGCGGAAAACAATGGGATGTGCTGTTTCACAGGTGCCTTCGGCTTTCGTCGAACGCCAAGAAGGAAAGCGAAGTTGCTGTTGCCCGATTCGCAGGTGCAAATCTCAGTGGTCGAGGGTGCTACAGGCCGGGTTTGACGGCTCAGTACTCGGGCCGGTTCAGTTTGGAGGCCAATTGAGCGACATCCCAAAACCCCTGCATTTGAAAGTAGTATTGGCGAGGACATTTTCAAAACGTTGGTTTGTCCTGGGCCCCAAATTCGCCGCGAAAGGTTCGCGAATGGGGTTTATCATGAGTACGCGCGAAAGGTGCGCGAAAGGGGCTTAGGCAGGTGGGTTTGGCACAGCGCGACTGCAGGTGACAAAACTGACGAACAAGCACTTATGTCAAGTGAGAGTAGAGGCAGGTATGTGCTTGCTTGCCAAAGAATCTCAGGGATGGCCGCTGGAAAAGCTGCGGTTTTTGACACGAGCCGTGCCAACGGACGGCGCGTAAAGCACTGGCCAAAAACTCGGAAACACAGCGCGAATTCCGGCCCCTGCAAATTCCCAGCCTCTCCCCACGCCCGATCAAGTTTCAATCCTCCCGAAGATAAGAAATTGCAGTCGCTCCTGCACGAGCAAAAGCGAAAGCGAACTTCGGACCCATTTCTCAATGCGTGAAAGCGACGAGAAAGCGATTCCCGCATCAAAACCTCTCGCGAAAGGAACCTTTCATGCCACGAAAGCTCCTACCGGTTCACTGTTTAAGATCAACGGTGCTCCCCTGTTTCCTTAGCCTCACGCCAGTACCAAGCTACAAGCAGCACAATATATATATATATAGTATGTATAATACAAAATACCCCTTAACGTACAAGAAGTGTTTTGCAGGGTTCTTCCATGCTTGTGTTCAGTCAAGCTGAACAAGAAAACTCGGATTCAAAAGCCAAGTCGAAGCGGCCGAGCGGCGATTCGATAGGTTCAACCGCCTGCCAGTGCGAAGTGGGGGGCTGAGTGACGTAGCTCAGGTTCACGTTCCGATCATAGGTGTTGTGTTTTTGGTAGCAAAGATGGCACTGGCTGACCTGGTTGTTTTATAATATCCTGGCTTTGGTCAACTTTTGGTGGGCCAATGAGTTGCAATTCATTTGGCCCGTCAAGTGGGCCAGTAGATTTAGCCAAGAGACACGGTTGGATTTTTGTTAGGGGGATCATTGGTTTGAACGTGGCCCCCCAGGCCCCATTCCCGGATTCAAGGCCCAGGAACGAGAAAGGGCACTTTGCGCCTGCGAGTTGTTGCTCTTTCCGAACGATGGGATTGTTGGAGGTTGCTTCCTACATCCATTGGATAGCTGCCCTCAGACCAGCAGTCGCCCTGGATTGTTGTTTGACGGGTCTGACCGATTTCAGCGCGATTTGCCTACACTGAGTTGGAGATTATTCCAGAGGGTACTGGTATGCTTTCTGAGCAAAAGAACTCTCCCAACTTGTCCCAACATAGACGTGGCATAAATCAACTGTGAAGGTAGGCGGGCCTTGTCTCTCATCTGTTCAGCTCAGGCAAGTGGTATATATGCAAGGCTTCCGGGTTGACTCCATTTGTCGCTCACAACAGTGGCGTACACCAAGGGCATTTTATCACTGACTAAACTACATGTGCCTGAGCTGGATGTCCCTTCTGTATATCACACAGATTGACATACTACCCCCAGATGCTATCCCAGCCCAGGACGTGCTGAGCTGGCCCGAGTGCGCCCAGGTCGAGCCGTTGAATCAATCGCCGAGCTCCGGAGCGGAGGAGTACGTCCAGGTGGGCTCCAATCAGATGTTCATTTTGTCGGTGTCATTTCGTTCCCCTCTTGAGATGAAGCAACCATCCCCACACGGAGCAAGTTTGGAACGGGCTTTCCTGCGTAACAACTTGTGGGTGGTTGCTATCGATTGTTCAAGGAAGCAACCATGCCGTCTTTTGCCAGGCTCTTGTACTGCAAGTAGACTCTTTCAATGATCTTTCTTGGGCCGCCGGACCAGCAAACATCAGGAACCCTGGTTGCAGTTAAATCTCCTCACAAGTTCCCCGACAACAAATCATTGTGCACACCAACAACACGGTAGAACTGTCGGCCATTGGGGAAGCCTGCCGATGGCTTTTGCGCACGTTGGAAGCCCTCCGGCCCCAGGACCTGCGCACGGCAGTTCTATAGTAGTACTTACGCTTTTGGCGTCGCAACGAGGCTGTGCCACCCCACGGAGAATCACAGCCTGGCGGATACCGTGGCCGATCTGGTCAGTCGAGTCCGGAGGCTGGTCTCTTTCGAATTCCGTCACGTCAAGGGCCACAGCGGCGCGCGCGGAAATGAGGTTGCGGACCGGCGGGCGGCGGGGCGGCGGGTCGGGTCTCCCCACATTGCGGTGCGTGGTGCGCAGTGCCTCCGGGCCCTTTGGGGGCGGTCCCGGCGCCGCCGCCACCAGTGGCCAAACGCCGGGCGGCGCCGACCCGCACGCAGTGTGACAAAGGCTTGGCGGACTTTAGGCCCACAGATATCGGACAACATAGGCCGCTTCGTCGGGGGGCTGGCGACGCTAACAAAAAGTGCCTCGTTTGCGAGAAGGTCTTGGGGTCTGTTCAGGCGCGTAAGAATCATGAGCGGTACTCGCATCCACATGAGGCTTTGGCAGCAGATCTAATTTCAGCTCTCCCAAAAAGAGGTCGCGGAGTGTAAAGCCAAACTAAAACACACCAGGCGCTTCGCCGGCAAGAGTCAAACATCGCAGGATTGTCGCGGCCATGTTGGTTCCTGTTGCTAGTAGCACTTGCCCTCGTAACGGCGCCATGGCCGCGCCCGCCCGCCGACAAGGGAATGGAGTGATACGCTCGCTGCTCAAAGCGACAAATGAGCGGCTCGATGCCTTGGAGCAACGGGTTGACAAGGTTGAGTACACTGTGGAGCTTCAAGAGGCCTATCGCCACCTGCGGGTGGAACACTCAGTGGGGGTCGCCGGCATCTGGAGTCGCTTTGAGTTGGGGGAAATCCCAGCCTCCGAGATCTAAGCACGGGTGGTACAGGCGCTCCATGAGGAGCTGGATGGGATCGCACGGGCTGAGTGGACTGAGGAGGCAGTGCAAGCGAAAGCCATGGTGCTGTCGCAGGGAAAACGCGGGATCGGATCTGCCGAGTCCCGACAGAGCTGCTTGCAAGGCCTGCACTTCGATGGCATTCTCGATTGGGTGCGGAAAGATCGCTCAGGCGCCATGCTCTCGGGGGGAACCGGCCAGGCTCGTCGTCAACCGAGAAGGGAACTGGATGCTCTATGTTCTCCCCCGCATGGTTGACCCTCCCAACGGCATCCAGCTGTATCCGGATAAAGGTCCCAAAGTCAGAGCTGCGCGAGCAAAGGGAAAAGGGAAACAGAAGGGAAGGGCCAGAAAGGCAAGAAAGGAAGGGGCAAAGGCAAAGGCCGAGGGGCAGGCAAGGGCAAAGGTGCCGCGGACCCCGACGCCCCTATGGATCCGTGAGATCAACGAGGCCTATCTTGTTGCATCGTGTTTCTGTGAGTTGGTCGTCGTGTTCAATGGTTTATAGGGCTGCCTTCGAAGTCGGACTCAGCAGGCGACCCATGCGGGGCACGACCCCGGGTCGGGGAGAGGGCCGTCAGCTACGAGCGACGGAAGACCCTTTTTGTTTTTGGGGAGACCTTCCAGCCCACCTATTCTCGTCAGGTGCCTGGGTCGCCGTACGGGAGCCACCCTAACCCCCCCCCAGCGATGCTCTTCTGTCCCCAGCGCGCGCAGTGATTTGCCACAAGCCGTTCAAGCTCGATCCGCCCAAAGTGCGCAGAGGGTTCACCAGCCTCCGTGTTCAGCCCTTTTCGATTCCCCAGCTCTCGCGATTTTGTTCTCACGCGGAGCCTTAAAGCGCTTAAAACTTTTGGAGAGAGCTAGCTCAATTACTACGGAAGTTCATTCTGCGTATCTTCGACGAAGATTCTACCCGAGGGATTCGACTATGGTCCACAAGCGAAGGTTTGCCCATGGTACATTCGAATTCCTTGGAATATATTGGATCCGGTGTATTTTTTGTTGTTAGTCACCTTTGATGAATACCCCTCTGTTCCTTGGTTGCAGTGTCGTGTGTGTTCCTTCTTGTTGAGTGGGCTCAAGTGGACTTGAACACTTTCTGGTGGAAGTTCCCCCGATCAGGTTGTTCAACTTTTGGGCCAGTGAATGCTTTGGCCCCATGTTGAATCGAGGCCCCTAGTTTTGGCACAAACCTTTTTAGCCGGAGCAGCCAGGTAACAATACAAGGCCGGCCATGTGGGCATATGACAGGCAAACAAGCACTAGTTCAGAGAAGGATCCATTTTACAGGGAAACCAACTCGACTAAGTTTGATATGGGAAATGGCGCCACGGGAATCCCCCCCATATTCCCGCTCCCTCCATATCCCCGCTTCGTTTGTCAAAATCTTGGGATTTGAATGGAACGGGGGTAAGCTCACCGTAGGGGCTCCTTAGGGACAACAACTCAGCCGAAACCCGAGAGGCGATGCCCGAGGAGGAGAACTGCGTTGAGGCACTCCCAAGCAAACCTTGGGCTGAATGCTTGGGGGGGTTGTGTGTGCTGATCCTTTTGAAGGTAACCAGCAAGCTCCAAAAAAACCATACAAATCATGATTATCTTTGGCTTGGACGTTGGATCTTTTCTTGGCGATATCAGGCTGTTGGGCTTCAAGCTTGCTTCCCTTTACGTCCTACAAAGTCTGACAAAGTGGTATGATTTCTGCCAAGAGACTTCTTGTAGAGAGACGCTGGCAGTTCGCAAAGAAGCTTGATTCTTACAAACATGCACAACCGGACATACAAAACTGGCGATCCCTTCTCGTTCCCCTTCACCAACATGACATAAAGGCCTCGCCACTAGCTCCTGTGGATGTGTGCACTTTGAAACGCACACCATTTAGTGATACTGTGGATAGCCGAAATCCGTTCGCACCACCGAAGAAACCCCGGAATGATTCGATTCCTCCGTAAATACCGACAAACAATATCAAACAATGGTTTCAACCATGGTTTCAGAGTGGTGCGAAATGGATTTTGTCCATCCACAGAGTACGGTGCTGCCGCCTTTTCAACCCTTAGCACAGGGCCACTTCCCCCAGAGACCATGGTCTTCGCATGCGCAGGCTGAGCCGGAGGAGACCGAGGAACCGAAGGCCGAGCCGAAGCCCGCCGAGCCGAAGGCCGGGCCGCGGAAGAGTTTCGTGTCTCGAGATTCTCGAGGCAGGACAAAAGCTCATTATTTTGCGACACGTTTGTCTCATCTCTTTCGACCCACAGTAAAACTTGGTTTGTTGAGAACAATGAAGCATGTAATCGTTACCGATGAATGGTTAATCATAATGGCATGTTTTAGTTGATGCCCTAGTGTTTGCTCAATTTGCGCGGTCTCCTTTACCTTTGGCTAACTATCACATAATTGGGGACGGGGTTGAGAGGGGGGAAGAACCAGGCAGAACCAGACTTTTTTGGGAGAGTGCAAGGTACTGCGACAAAAACAAGTCTGCCGGAATCAAAATCGATTCTTTGACCTTCGACCCATTTACTAAAGGCAACTCAAAAGGTCGACCTGATAAAGATTTCCTTTGGTTTCCTTCTCACCATCGCAATAACTTAGACCGCATGTTTCTTCAATGCGTTCATAGGGCAGGCTCTCCCAGATCTCCCAAGTGAGCCATGCTTGCTCGGTTTATCGATCAGGTTTCGAGTGCGCTCGTTTTCCTCGTCATTGTTATACCCTGACATCGTTGCATGTTGTGGCTTCGTCATTTCTCAATTCGTGGTGTATTGTCGGTCTTTATTTCCGAATTCGTGTGATAGTGTGGGGGCCCACGACGTAACTGGGACGTTCTCCTTCAGGCAGGTGCCAATAGCAACATCCCATTCTTATGTTGCACTTGTATGGTGTAGCCGTTCCATGCAACAAGTTGGCATGGTCCAGGGGTTTTTGCCAGTGTATTGCTGAGTGTCTCAACATCGTAAACGGGTTTCCACAAGGAGAGCTATGCTCATGACCACCACCTGGTGGAACGCTTTGCTGCAAACAAAACACCAATAACAAGCCTTTAAAATACCCATCCCAGGCACAGGTACTCAAACAAATGAATCTCTTGGAAATGGGGGGTGGTGCGAGCCTGGGTGATCAACTCGAATTGGACTCCATGTTTTAACATGACACAACCTGTTTGGCCCAGTCGACTTCCGGCTTTGTTTTCCGGCCCATTGATGTGTAGGTTGCTGTTCCAAGGCCAAGCGCTTCACTTCGGACGCCAGCAACAGATTGCAAGTTGGCTAGCTTGAATGTCTTGCGAACAGGTACTTAGCTACTTCCTTATGGTTCCTCACATTCAACCGTTTGGATCTTCATAACGTCTTGAGGGAGACCTGATGATCGATTCCCACGGTCATGCTTTCACCATGACCATGTGGCAAAGCGTTAGAGCACAGCATGCTCGGAGAAGCGCTGATCAACTTCCAACCACACTCATGCTAGAAAGTTAGACAATTATATTCATATTTTGTCGGAACATCGGCTGGCTAATTTATTGAAAGGATGCGTCAACACGGTCAGCTGGCCATTCAAAGGGGCCCTTCACCCGAGTTCGTGATGGTTGACTTTTCGTTGTTTGAATTCTTTTCAGGGGTGTTACACCCGGTGTAAAAGAGCCTGTTCCAACTTTCGCTCCTGGTGAGGACTTGTGAATGCCTCTGTGTTTCACTTCGGAGAGGGGATGTCTTCTGAATTAATTCCTCGCCTAAGTAGCCCTTGCCGTTTTTTCGTTTGGATTGCTAGAAGGTGCTCAGCGCTCCGGAGGCCGGGACCGGATCTCCTCATACCATGGGCCTCAAGGGCTATGATGGACACCTCTTGCGGACCCGAAAAAAGGCCAAGATGAATGAGTTGAAAGAAGGGGGGCCCTTGACCCCTTGCAATGGAAAGGGATCATGCCCGTTCCAGGTTCTGGAGGAAAAAACATGGAAACACAGCGGCGAACCTGTTTGCCTTTGAGGTGTGGCTAACTTTCTGTAACGAGCCATGCCCACGCGAATTCAAGGTCAAAAATCTTTATCACTTAATCACGCCACCGGGTTCAAATTAGTTGTCAAGTCTTTCTCGGAAGGCACCCCTGTATACCGTACCAGGCCAGGGCGCTCATATGAGTCTGCATGGCCGGTCGAAGGGGTTTGATCAGGGGTCCTGATCGGCGCGAGGTACCTGTGCATTCCCTTGATTTGATGCAAGTTCCAAGCTCAGAGAGTCGCTCTCGGATTCCTTGCTGCTCGGATTTCTTAAATTGTACCCCTGCTGAACCATAACTTTAAGCAATCCACACCAGGCAGGGTTCCCCAGAAATGCCCTACGGATGCCACAAGCTCTAGGCACATAGACCGTACATGCGGACGATTTGTTCTCAAGCTAGCCTCCAGCTAGAATTTTGAGTTCCCTCCAAAGTTTCCCTCACAGCTGAAGTTGAACTGTTTTTTTCAGGTAAAGCGAATCATGAAAGGAATCAGTCCGTTGTCTTCGACCTATTCCCAAGCTTTGAATGGGTAGGTCCTAAATGGGTGTGATTCTTGTGCGGGTACCCTTTCCAGATTGGTTTAAAGGGAAAGCAGAAGGAAAGCTACCATTTTGAGGAGTCACACTTTGACACATATCAAAATGGGCCACGTGTCAAGTCGAGTTGCATCGCTTCGGTCCCAAAAAGGTTTCCGACGGATTCCGACAAAGACGTGACATGGTCTCCTCCAGGAATGGGCTGCCGCCCTTGTCACGCAACTTCCAGTCGATCGTGTTTGACCTTAGGGTTAACCGGCGGCTTTCTGGGAAAGTCGTGTGCAACGTCGCAGCTTTTTGTGTGTAAAACAGCACACAGAATATGAGACGCTTGTGTCAAGGAGATATGGATGTGGGTCAAAAATAGGTCCACAACATGGAGCCCTGGTAAATGGAACCAAAAGCCAAAACCTGCGGTCCCTGGTGGTTTAGACGAATTTGTGGTAGCCACCGCCTCTCGAAGGCCAGAAGCCAGGACTCGGACGCTGAGCCGCAGGCGGGAGCAGGCAGTCTGAGCTGTGGGTTGTCTATCCACCTCCCCCAGTAGTGCCCTTTTACCCTTTTTTGGGGGAGGGCTCCCCTACTACAATAGGCTACAGAAAAAAAGGTACCCTTATTCTAACCTCTCTACTGGAGGACCTAGCCACAGAACAGCAATCCCTTTTGAGCATGGAGTGATCCAGCTCCACAACTTCAGTGTCCACTGTCAGAAGCAAAATCCGAAGATCGGCTCTTGCCTGAGCCAGGGCCTGGAAACTGTGTAGTGCAGGTTCCCGCTTTCCAAAGTACCAGTCTGCCTCTAGACTCTAGATACTTAAACCGGCCCTAGGCGGAGATGCAGGGTGAAACGACAGCATCCCTTCAGGCATCAAAGCCCTCATATTTCCCAGGCGGCACAGCATCTGCGTTGGTCACTTCGCATGAGATGGCAACCAATTCTGGCTGCGTGTGTTTGCTGTATTTACCTTGGGCGCATCTTTTGGTACCGAGGAGCTTCTTACAGTTCGCTTCGGGCAAAGATCGTTCTATGAATCATTTCCGTTGAATTCGGCTCGAGGCATATCGGCCAATCAGATTTAATAATCACCATTGTGAGTTGCTTTGCTTGCACCAGCACGAATCAACTTTGAAAGACAAGACGGCTCATCATTCCAAATCACATTGTACGTCAGTTGAATTACCCCCATGACAAATTTCGGTGTGCTTGTAATTTCATTCACCTTGTCTCAGAAGATCTCAGTGGAAGTGCCAAAAAAGGGCAATTAATGAGTTTCTTGAGTCATCCAATGCTCCCAGGAGTTGCTGTTTCTAGCAAAAAGTAACACATGCAATAAACACTGTAGCATGTGAATAAATTACAGATATGCTCAACTCACAATATATATATATATATATATATATATGTAATATGTATACTACACATATGTTGACCCCTCAAGCGCAACAGGAAGATGTTCGTGCCCTAAAAAGGCATGCGTGTGGCTCTCGCGGGGGTTTATTGAGTTTTCTCTTTCTCTCTTCCCCTTTGTCGCTCTGACTCGCGTTTCCTGCACATTCCACTTGCCCCCCTTCAACGGGAGCACGAAGTATTTGCTCCAAAGCATTGCCGGCAGAGATCGTTTTAGCTTGGTCGCCCCCGTTTGCAGCCAGGACTATGTATATAGCCACTCTTTGAGTACGGGAATTTGTCTTGGTTTGCTTTGGGAAAGACAAGCACCCTTTGTGCGAGAGGCCGCGGAGCCCGCCAGCGACGAGGCCTTGGAGGTTCGGTGCTCACGGTTTTTCGCGCAGGTGTTCCCAAAGCGGGTCTTGAGGTGAAATGTAGTCCCGGAAAGGCAGAAGCTCTAGTCCGACCCCCAAAAAGATGCCGAAGCCTGGCAGCCCGGGACGCAGCAGTCCCAAACAGCGAGCAAACGCAAGGGCAGGCTTTGGAAACTCGAGTAGGGCATCCTTTCAGTGGTATGGTAGGGTGGGTCAGCCCTGAAGTCATGTTGACTTGAGGCACGCTCCATGCCTAACTGTTGCTTCGTGGACTCGTATTAGAGGATCCACAGACTCTTCCACCAACGGAACCCACAAGGTCGGTCCTTTTAGGAGCTTATTTTCTGCAAGCTTTCCTTAAAAGCCACAAACAATGGGGTACCCGCGTTTAAGATACGTTTTGTTATGTGGGATCCTGTAGGGTTGTTTGGCTTAGCCAACCTAACCCATTGGTGGCTGTAGGTGGTTGAACTAACCGATCACATCAGTATCAATATCCTTCTATGGCTTGAGACAGTGAGTTGGTTTCAGCTGCCTGCATGGCTCATAGACGTGTCATGGCGGCACCAGCATTTGAAGATAATGGAAGCGGAGTCTACTGCAGCTCGGGCTGGATTATCACTACTCTGGATGGTTGCGAAATCCGAAAATCGCACTGCAAAATGAAACCATGGTTGAAACCATTTGTTTCTTTGTATTTGCAGGGGAATGGGGAATTATTGTAAACGCTTCGCGTTGCCCGCCTCGGCCCAGCCTAGTTTGAGGGAAGGGTCAGGAACACCGAAATCCAGTGTTGGGAAGGTCCGAATACCTGAAGCTGGCTCCAGACAAGTCAGACAAGCCGGCCTCGCCTGGTTGGGCTGGGCCACAGGCTAGTCTCAGACACATCAGATAAGCCTGCGCTGGGCCTGAAGCTAGTCTCGGGCAGCTTGGCTGGACCTTGCTTGCGTGGGTTGTTGGTTGAGCTGAAGCTAGTTTACGGCGGGCTGGGCAGCCGCACTGAGGGGGCTGGGCTATGGCTGGGCTGGGCTGGGCCAGTTTCAGACACGTCAGACAGGCCTGGCCAGCAGGCGGACTGGGGCTGGGCTAGACGCTAGTTGAGCCCAGGCTGGTGAGGCCCAGTCTCGGCGCTAGATAGCCTGCGAGTCTCAAACCGGGTGGGCTTGGGTGGGGTTGGCTTAGGTAGTCTCAGCCACGAGGCTGCGAAGCCATGGGTGGTGCTGGGCAGCTGGATTATGGTGTTGGTTGCGCCTGGAACTTCGGCTGGCTGGGCTGAGCTGTGCTTGGGCGGGTCGCTGGATGGGCTGAGGCTGGGTAGCGAGTTGCTGGCCAGGCCGGGCCTGAGGCCAGTCGCAGACACGTAAGACACGCCAGCAGGCGGGCTGAGGGACTGGGCCTGAGGCTAGTCTCAGGCTGGCATACCTTGAGACCAGTCTCAGACTGCGCTGAAGGGGCCTGGTCAGCCTGGGCTGCTGAGTAGCTGGCATAGCTTGAGACCAGTCTCAGACTGGTCGTTGGCCTGAGGCCAGTCTCAGACACGTTAGACAAACCACACTGGGCTGAGCCTGCTGGTCTGGGAGTTGGGGGCTGGTAGTGGCTGGCATGCTCTGAGATGCGCTGGGGCCTGGGCTGGGCAGGCTTTTGGGCTGGGCCTGAAGCTAGTCTCAGCCACAAGGCTGCGAAGCCATGGGTGGGTTGCTGGCTGCCGGGCAGCCGGACCAGGCTGCTGGTTGTGCCTGGAACTTGGGCTGGGCGGGCTGGGCTGAGCTGTGCTTGGGCGGGTTGCTGGATGGGCAAGGCCTGTTTCATACACACTTGGGCCTGAGGCTGGGTGGCGAGTTGGCTGGGCTGGGCCTGAGGCCAGTCGCAGACACGCCAGCAGGCGGGCTGAGGGACTGGGCCTGAGGCTAGTCTCAGGCTGGCAAACTTTGAGACGGCCTGCTGGCTGATTTGGGGCCAGACGCGAGCAGGAGGTCAAGGTCTGGCCAGCCTGGGCTGAGTTGCTTGGGCAGCCGGACTGAGGGCTGGGCCACGTCAGACGGGCTTGGTGGCTGGCATAGCTTGAGACCAGTTTCAGACACCGTTGGCCTGAGGCCAGTCTCAGACACGTTAGACAAACCTGACCTTGGGGCCGGCCTGGCTGGGCTGGGCTTGCTGGATGACTTGGGGTAGGCCTGAAGCTTGGGCCTGAGGCTGGTGGGCTTTGGGCTGGGCCTGAGCCTAGTCTCAGACACGTCAGGCAAGCCTGGCCACCAGGAGGTCATGCTTTTCAGGACAAAAAAGCATTTTTAGCAATTGTCAGCACATTTTCGACAAAAATGGACCCATGGAGCTGGACGCCGACGAACCCCGAAAATTTCAAGGCCCGCCGGACAGGATTTTGGGCCAGCCGACATGGGTGGGTGGGGGGGGGCGGCCCGGCAAAATTTTGGTGGGGAGGGGTTGGGGGAGGGGAAAAGCGAAGATTCTCTTTGGAGAAGAGATCTGAGCGCCCTTGGCCCCTTTGGGGCCGAGGCGAATTATTCCAGGGTTTCTTAGGTGGTGCAGATTTATTCCATGCACAGAATCACTAGCTACTTGTTTGAGTTCCTGGACGTGATGTTCCTTTTCACCGCGCGGTATTAAACAGCATCTTGCGAGCCTTGCAATCGCAGGCCTGCTGACTCCAACAAGCCCATGGTGTTCTTGGGATGATTTCCATGGTAGGCACTGCCTATTTCAGAAAAGGGCGGACATCGTGCTAGTTGGCAATTGCAAACAAATGAGTGTTGGGAGTCAGGGGGCAGACAAACACTCTGTGACGGCTCTCATCTTCCAATGCCATGGCTGAAATTGTCGTGGACAGCGATGAAGAGGTGGTGTTTGTCTCGGAGGTCAGCAGGCCCTCAAAGAAGGCCAAGAAGACCAAGAAGACCAAGAAGAAGCGCAAGCGCAAGGACAAAGATCATGCACAAGATGAAGCAGCAAAAGCTGCCTCCTCGCTGGCAAGGCTAAACCGCAAGGTGAGCAAGGAGAGAGCGGCTGCTTCTGGATCTCAGACCGAAACGCAGACTGAGACGCAGACCCAAGTGCAGATCCCGGCGCAGACCGAGACGCAGGCGGTCGGCATGTGTCGTGTGCGACGTGCGGGGGACTATCCACCCCGGCTCTGCCATGAATGCCGTTGTCCTTTGGACGCCGCTGGCCCCGATGCTTAGTTGTTTAGTGGCAAAGCTGTCCTTTCCTTTCGTTTTTTTGCATGTCTGTTCTGGTTTGTTGGCTGGTTCCCCTCCTGCATGAAGAATAAGAGCAGCCGGTGTTGGCCAAAACCTAATAAGCGCAGCGATTGAGGACTCTGCCATCGTGGAAATCGAGCGCCCCTGGCTTTTAGAGCCGTGCTTGGTCCACGCGCAGCTGCGCTGCTTGCATTCGGTCGGCCTGGTGCAGGGTGACTTCTCAGCCTCCAGGCCTCGGCTCTTGCGACGAGACGGGGATTCCATGAAACTCGGCGTTTCCTTGGCCACTCATTTTTTCTTACTCCTTGTCTGGGAAATATGGGTGTGGGTAAAAATCAAGCCACCAGGGGACCGCAGGTTTTGGTCCATGTTTCTGTTTACCAGGGTTCCATGTTGGGTACCTATGTTTGACCCACAGCCATTTTTGAACTTCCGGTCCACCTAGCACACTTATCTGAAAGACCTAGCGGGGTACTTGCCACTATGCGCTCTGGGAGCACCTGTCCACTAGACCTGAGTATAGCCCGGAACCATTATGGACATCTGCTCCGTTGCTCCAATGGTTCTTTGGAGGTTTCTTTGAAGGAAAGACGAAAACGGATTTGCCAAGACTTGGGAGCGACCCTTGGGGGAGTCTTGCATGGGAACCAGCATGTCCGCAATAGTTTGGAGCGGTCCACCTCCTCTTGTTTTCCCCAGATTTCCGTCAGCGGCAGCCCGTCGCTGCGGCTTCCTTGCGCAGACTTTTCCGCCTGTCAGCCCGTCGTCATCGCAGTGCGTGTCCTGAGACTTTTCCCCGTGTCGTGCTTCCGCACGGCACGGCCGCGATGCCACCGCAGAACGGTAACGGCCATCATCATCGCGGCCCCCCTTCGGAGCCATTCTGCGCAGCGCAACCTCGAGATTTCCGCCAGCCTCGGTGCCAGTGGTTTCCTTGCGGGAGCCTGTTCTGTATGGCGCGTTTCTTACGCCCCATCAGCCGGTTGTTATACGCTCCAGGACTCTTTTCCTCGTGGCACTGCAGAAGAAGCAACCGTGTCTGCCCCATCGCGGGAGCCATTTCGCTGGCACGGCCACGGTGCAAGAAACCATCGCAAAAAACGGACGGGAGCGTCGCCGCCACACAAAGCCACTGCCAGCCCTGCATCATTTCTCCCCGCGGCCGCCCACATAGACTCAACAAAAACGAGAAGCCAAACACCAGAGATGTTTTTTGGAAAAAAGGTAAACTGGGCTCAGACGCCCTCATTTCATCCCATGAAAATCGGTGTCTAGCCCCACCTATCCGGTAGTTCGGGGGATGGTAAACTCCGTTTGGTTCCAAGGAAGGGCCCCGACACCCAGGGTGTGCTTCGGTCCCTGGATGTGCCTGGCCCAGCTCGAGCCCGCGCTGCTCCCGCAGCTCGGTGCCCGTTTGGGCGCAGCTGTGTGCTGATGTTTTGTGAGTGTGTTTTTGTTTTGCTTTTTGGTGCGATTTCCAGGGGAAACCACACAAAAGCCAGCATTAAGCGAGTTTAGACCCATGGGTTTTAACTGAGGTTTGAACTATTTATGATGCGCTCAGCACCCCATTTCACCACTGACCCCAGTTTCTTTCCATACATGCTTTTGCTGGTGCTTGCTTTCATCTCCCTATGTCGTAAGGCTCCAGCCGGGCGCCCTGAGAGGAGTCTCAGAGCCTTGGCCGCCGCGCGGCAAATGGCCACCACTGCCGCCCTGCGCGCGGTGCGGCGCGCTGCCAACGACGCCGCGGACGAGGCGGTGCTCGGGCGCCGGCGCCGGCCCTCGGCCTCCGAAGCGGCGTGGGAGGCGCTGCTGGCGCTGCTGCCGGCAGCGCGCCACGCCACTCGCGCGGAGATCCGCAAAAACGAAAGCTGCGCGATATGCCACGGCAAGCTGTGCCGCGGCAAGGAAGGAGGTTTGTTGGCTCCTTTGGTTTTTGTTGACTTTGCTGTTGCTTTCTAGTTTTGGCAGCCACTAAGTGATCGGGAACCCCAAAGAGCCAAGCCATTGGTTCCAACTGCTGTCCAATCTGATTTGTGAATGGGCTTCGGTGGGATAATGCTTCAAAATGCACATGTTGGTAAGTGTAAGTAATCCGGTGCAATTGTGTGTGTTGGATTGTTGGATCGTGGGATTGTTCCTAGCGCCATCATGATTCGACCTGTTGACAGAGCACCTTCTCGTGAAAATTGTGGGTTGGTTTGATTGGGCGCAATAGGATCCCTGTTTGTTTGTCAGGGAAGCAATGTTTCATGGCAACACCAAACACCTAGGTGATTAGAGGGTTGAAGGTGACATCCTCAGCCTCACAACGAGGTGGCTGCTATGGTGATTCCTTAGTATTGTGTATATGATCGCTTTGGAGCGGTGTGGCTATGACTTTAAGGCTGAATACGTTACATCCTGGGCACATGCCCTCACAGCTTCCAGAAGGGGCCGGCCCCTGGAAACGGCTTTCCCATTCCGAAGGTTCAAGACGAGCCAAGAGGTTCGGACCCTACCCTGCGGCCACACCTTCCACGATGCCTGCATCCTGCCCTGGCTCTCCAAGAAGGCCACGTGCCCGCTGGACCGCACCAACTTCAAGGCAGGATGTGTCGAAAACGGGTCGTCAAAGCAACGTTTGGAGCCCAAGTATAGGGCGGGGTCCCTTTTTGTTTCACTTACCAACCTGAAAAGGGTCCGGTGGTTTCCCTTTCAATCCCCTCTTGAACCACCTGCAAAAGGGTCCCCTAAAACGACAGACCCAGATGGTCCGCGCCTTACCAGCAAAGTAAGCGGAAGCAGCCTGTTTGAGGACTTCCCCTGGTTTGCACCAGTTTGCTTTCACGGATCCCGTGCTTTTGTGAGGGTAATTGTTGGGGATGCTGCAATGGGTATCTCTCTCTTTTTGTAGGGACACCTGTCTTCGTTTCAGACGGACACCGCAAAAGAACCAAAACGTGTGGAGGGATCACACCGTGCACCCAGCAAAAAGGCTAGTTGAACCAGCATGTCTTTGGCCAATCTGTTGCAGACAAGTCATACTTGTAAGTGGCTGACAGTCGTTCTTCTTCTTCTTCTGCTTGGCTTGCACTATTCAAAATCCTCGACGGGAATGGTGCGTACTTCTGTGTCGATAGCCATGCTTACAGGTTTGGGGATGCGGAGCTTGAATCCCTGGAATATGGGAAGCCGTCGTTTGGTTCGTTCGAGGAGCTGGTGAAGTCGTCTGCCCGAGGGTCCGCCTCTCGCGGGGAGCTGGTGGAGTGAGCTCGATGCGTCGAGTGGGAGAAACGCGCGCTGCGCATGGGGCGGGCGGCGGGATTTGGCGCCGGACATGCGGCAGGCGCGTGCTTCTTCAACACAGATTCGCTTGGGGTTGCGTGCGATGGTGCCAGGTCCGTTGGGAACGACGGATAACGACTGTAACAAGATGCGACAAAAGCATGAGGCCGGCGGCCGGTGAATGTCGAACCCCTCTATTCATCAACAATGGTTATTCTTCTTATTGTTCTTCTTCTTCTTCTTCTGCTTACTGTTGTGTCGTTTTGTTCTTTTTCTTGAGCTATTCACTATCTTGCATTGTCGCCCGAATTGGAGTCCCCGATGTCTGTTGGTTTGGTTTTGAAGCCTTGAACAGTCTTCCGAGACTTGCATGAAGCCGAAATCGGTCAACAGATCCTGAACCACCATGAGGGAGGGTTGTCTACTGTAGATTCGCTTGACATCCCGATCAAACCAACAAGGGTGCGTCTTCTGGGGGAACCCCCATTTGATTGGTTTTCAATGGGAAACAAAAGCGAAGCCAACAATTTTTTTGGGGTCCCCTATTTTGAGACGCACTCAAATCATCCTTAAGTGAAGCATTGGAAACGCCTCGTTTCTATTTGCATCTCATAGGGCCCAGCTGACCGTGACGCCGGGGAAGCTTTGCGAATAGTGGAAGGCCCCAGGGGTTCCTTGAGTATCCGACGGAAAGGAGCGCTCACTCTTGGACTCCTGCCGCTCGGTGACTTCTCCGGAGCACAGTCAGGCGGAACACAGTCAGGCGGGGTGAGTGCGGCTTGAGCTGCGGAGTGGGTCCCCAGTGCTGATGTTTTGGCTTGGATAGTGGGGTGTATAATCTGTTGAGGGTTACCAAGGGAGAACGAGTGGAACTCCACAGAGGTTCCCCAATAGTCCCTTCCCTCTATTGTCAATTCCATACCCTATTAATAAATATGTTTTTTTGGAACACGTATTTAAATTGATTACTAGGATCCATGGGGGTTTCCACACAGTCCTCGTCCAAATGTGCGTTTTAGGCTTGCATCGCGAAACCGTCGTGTTTTCTGAGTGAGTGAGCCGGCACCGAAAATGCGAGAGCTGGTTTCCAGGATGTATGGTGCTCGCATGTTCACGGCCCCCACTGGAGCTGTAGTCCAAACTGCCGCCCAGGCCACAGGCTCAAGGCTATAAAACCCAAGGGCGGTGGGAACTGGGGCCAAGCTGCTTCTCGCAAGGGCTGCCTCAAGCGCGCTGTACTATTCAAACTTAAAAAGCGCATTCAAAATTACAGTTTACACTTCTAAGCAAAGGGGCTATTGATAGGTTTGGTATTTTAGAGGGAGAAGGATTGACAGGCCTTATTTCAAGATGTTCGGCAGATCCGCCAAGCATTGCCCCGGTATCATGTTAGCAATGTGGTTTTGTTTTCCAGGGCTTCTCACCATAACGACGCGTGCTGAAAAAAGTTCAGGGACCCCGGTTCAGGTGATGTTTGCTGACCAGTGTTCCACCACCCAACTGCTTCTCCCCGTGTCCAAAATCCGTGGTCTGAAGGGCCCGGCCGAGCTCACAGAGGTGCACGTCTCCGCATCAGGAGCCAGTGGGCGCAGCCTGCGCAACAGCACCCTGACGAAATGTTTGTGCCACACTCACCCCCACCCGTCCTTACTCGAAGTGAAGCCCCTGCAGATTTCAGCGAATCTGGGGGGGGGGAACACAACACATGTTATGTTCTACCTACTGCGGCTTGACACCCCTGTGGCACACGCTCGCAAGCACGCTCGCACGCTTGGGCACACGCACACGCACACACTTTCCCTAGAAAGGTATTCCAGCCCCAAAGCTTTGCAGTTGTTTGGGCAGACTAGGCGCGGCCTGCGCTTTCGTGCCCCAAAAAAAGAATGTGTGTGTGTGTGTGTGTGCGCGCGCGTGCGCGTGCGCCTGCGCATGCGTGTGCGCGTGCGTGCGTGCGTGCGTGCGTGCGTGCGTGCGTGCGTGCGTGCGTGCGCGCGCGCGCGCGCGTGCGTGCGTGCGTGCGTGCGTGCGTGTGCATGTGTGCAATTTGCGCTGGTCACAGTGACGCACTGTGCATTTTGCATGGGGGACCTAGGGAGCAATGAAAGGGTTGCCTCAACAGAATGTTTGAACTGGTATTTAAACTTGGCTGCTCTTTGGTCCGACCGGAATGGGCCTCTTTTGAAATTGCCATATAGAATCTCTTACCCCAACAGTGTCTAGCGTTTGCTGTGCGTCTGTTGGCTGAGCGCTCGAGAGGAGCCCTGCTGAACTTGTTTGACAGTTCAGAGGACGGGGAGATTCTGGTCCCTAAGATCAGGGCTCCCATGGATCGTGTCTCTTAGGGGCCCTCAAAAATGGATGGGTGTTCCTTTTGATTTCCCTTTAACACCACAACAGCGAGGTACCGACTCCAAAAAGACGACGCACCCATATTTCGATCCCGTTTGGTGGTTATTTTTATTTCAAAAAAAAACCTCACCTTAAGGGCCAACTTTCTCATGGTGTTCATGGCTCTTGACTTGAAGGTTTCAATGGAGGTTTCACATAGCGGGATTTGAGTGTTTTCTGCGTCTTGTACATCCAAATCTCCAGGCCCGAGGAAGGAATGGGGCAACCATCCTGTATTTCATTGCTAGATAGTATTTTGCTTGATTGGTCTTTGTCGCTGAAGCGCACCAATACGCTCACAAGAACAGATCCAACACCCACTGAAAGCTCTTCACACTTCACGAGGCAGTCTGCTTGCCTGTGGCAACTGGTTGTGGAGATGCAAGGGTCCTCCAGCCCCGAAATGGAAGCTCTACGTCCAGTTGGTGAGAGAAGTGTGGCATCTAGCCGTCCATGAGCATCCCAAATGCCGGGGGGGGGGGGGGCGTAAGCGAGGGCTGTGGGGACCAGGGTTTCCTGAGGTTCCTTGTAGGAATCAGCAAGGACGCCCTCAGAAGGATAAATTGGACATGCAGACCAAGACAGACATCTGACACACCTCTATGCTTACCATCCTTCAACGGCCCATCTTGTTGGTTGATATGTCCATCATGGAATTTGTGTGCGTGGTCGTTGCTTCGCAGCTCTTGGAAGAAGTCAGTTTGCTGCTGCCGCTGCAACCCTGTTCCCCTTGTTTAGGAGCCGAGACAGTTTCCACATGGCAGCTAAGTGGTCCTTGACACTCAGCAGTCCTATGGCCACGATATTCGGCAGTACGTTTTGCATTTGGTTTTCATGGTTGGCCAACAAAACTTACCTTGAGACCCAGCCATTTTTCGGTCGCCAAGTCTTTCCCTTTCAAGAAACCGGGGGGGGGGGGGCAAAATGTAGTTAGCGTGGGGGAGCTGACAAAAAGCGCATCCCATCATCCCCAAGCTCGAGCTTTGCCTCGCCAGCTGTCAAGTTGCATGCTTCCCAATGCTTCTAGATGTTCTCCCTAAGCCTGAACAATTGAGAAGCTCAAGGGTCGCAGCTGCGCGCCCCTGGTGCCCCAACCAAGAACTATGGAATCTAACCCAAGCTATATGCATAAACCCACTCGCTGAGTTCCTGGACTTCAAGCTCGTTTGGACAACTATTTTTGTGGCGTTCACGCAAAAGCTTGGGGACTTTTTGCCAATGCACTCATGTGAGTTTCAGTGTACATCTCAAGGGTAGCTCGCTGCTGTTCAGCCCTTGGAAACCCGCTGCTTCTGGAGGACAGCGCGGCGCTCGCGGCGAAGCGGGAGCGCATGGCGCGGCAAATGGAGCGCCGGCGCCAGGTGAGAGTTGCGAGAGAGGCACCACCTTTTGGGTATGTGTTTTTTATGTGTGTCAGAATACGGGGACCCATTTTGGGCATCCCCGTCGGGGATGTCCAAAAGGGTCTTCCGTGGTTTTTCCTTTCAATCCACCAAAAAGAGGGTCCCCTCAAAAAAAACACCCACGAGACCCTGGCCCTCAGGTAAGCCCGGATGGCCTTGAACCTGTGCAGTAAAGCCAGCCACCAAGAACCAGCCACCTCCCAACTAGTTTGACACGCAGCCATGTGAATGTGTGTTGCGAAAACCTGGCTTGTTTGTGGTTACTTGCTTGGACAGGAACATATCTCGGAAAGGAGTCATGCATAATTTGGATAAGGAAAAGAAGAGATGGGAGCATGTAGTTTGTCCCGTCCAAGATACTGCTGCTGCTGGATTGTTCTCCTGACAGCTCGAAGTATACCAACTGTTGGCCTATTTCCTGGGTGAGGAGCGGTCACTTTGCAGCTGGTACTCGACCATTTCAACCGCACTGAGCTTTGTTTGCCCCGTGGTTAGGTATGACCATGGTTGCCAATCGCCCAAGCCGATCCCTTTGGGAGTAGCGCCTCCCCCATGTTAGCAACAGACCAACTTGAGCCAAAGTCAAACCCCAGTTAGACGAAGGATAGTGGCGGACAGTCCTGGCCTATGGGTGCAGCCACCCTCTTGTTTAACTTTAAACGGCTTTGTGCAGGCAACTCTTGTACCAGGGTTCGAGTGTAGCTGACTTTAAGTCCTGTTGTCGTCCTGGTTGGGGCTGTTGTGTTGCTTCGGGTTAGTCTGTTGACTCATTCGTGCCGCAGGCACGCGCACCCCGTGGCCAGCGGGCGGAGGAGGCAACAAGAATTGCTGCATACTGTGGATGCACAACATTCACTTTGCACAAGTTGGGATGGATGGCTACTGGGACGAGCCACCTATTGTACCACTGGTGCGAAGCGGATGTTTCCATTTGCACGTCTCGGAGTAGCGTTTTGCTGCCATGCTTCATGGTAGCATGCAGACACATTCCTCAGCAAAGACTGGCGAGAATTGTTAATTTCTTCTTTGGGTGGCCAGGTTTTGCAAGGAGGCTAGAAAGATCTAGAACGTGCCTCCATGCCTCGCCGTCAACGCCCACTTCACTGGGGGAATGCCACCTCCAATGAGTCAGACTTCATCGCTGTTCATTTGGACGGAGTCCATGGGAAGGGTGACTTCATGCGGCTAAGATCTTGCGCATCTTTGGGATGATGACTTCAGTGTTGTTGTTGTGTTTTCTCGGGCTTGCCCGGGAAAACCGAAGCCATTGGTTTTGGATCCCGCCTTTTTGACACATCCCCTTCTCCAATGTCGCCAGGCACGCCGCGCCGCGCCGGCCAAGCGCGAGGAGGCGCGGGAAGTGGTTGCGGATCACGCGCGTGGCAAAAGTGGGGGCTTTGAAGGCTTGGCCCGTTTTTGATGTGACCTCCCAGCGAATATTTCGGAGTAGAATGGTGTGGCGAATCATGGTAGCAGCCTTCATGAGTTTTCTCTGCGAATCTTTGTGCAGGTATTCTGCGCGCCAACAAGCAGAGACAACATTTGAAGACCTCAATCACCTGAAGAGAATTCCTTGGTTTCAGCAGCACCCTTGAGTGTAAAGGGGCGCAGTAGGTGCCAATTGTTTGAGCATTTGCCCCGCACGTGTGATAGGAAGATATGGCAAAGAGTTTTAACTTGGACCCCCTCGAAAGGGGTTGGTGGACATAAACTACCCTAAACGACGCTCACCAAAGGGTCCCCAATTAACATTTGCACCTATGTATTAATATATATATATATACACATTGTATGTTATGTTTCACCTGGGCGCTGGCCCCTCCGCTTTTGGGAAGGATGTTGCCAAGCCCATGTGGAACTTGGGACTTGGTTAGGCATCACAAGCATTTCAGGCGGGTGAATGCCAGATTTAGCTGCTTGCTACGTCAGCTAGCGTGGCTCTTCTCTCGCCTTTGGGGTGACTGCCCTACGTTGACCTTGGTCGAACTGTAACTGAATGGTGGGATTATTTGTTGCAAATCTACCATCAGAGAGGTTGCAACTGCTGATTTTGCAGTAGTGTACAAGGCGCTCCTTCGTTCAACATCCCATTTCCAAAGGGGAAGCAAGTCTTGGCTTTCTAAACCGCGCTCGTACATGCTCGTGCAGAAGGTCCAAAGACCGACATGCACTTGATATACGGCAAAATACACGGACCAGGGGCAGGGCTAGCTGCAATGTTACTGTTGCAGACACTAACTACTTCCAGCAAGTGGACAATCCACCTACAGTTGGGTGAAAGTAAATGGCACTAGTCCCTCAATTTCCCGAAATGAGGAGACAACATCTAAATGGGGAGAACCCACAAACCCCACCACTGAACCGACCCCCGGCTCCAGGCCCCATGGTCGGCAGGCGCCCATTTCGACTTCTCCGAACCTGGAGTCGGGCCGTTGTTTGTCAGGGGGGTTTTGCCGTATAGTTTTGGGTGTTTCTCAAAATAGGAGCCTGCTTTCTTTACGTTTCCTTTTGGTTTGCAACTTTAACTGCCAACCTAAAGGGGGCTTATTTGTGCGTAGCACGTTTGCCCGTGATGTTCCGTGTTGCCATCGGAATATCATAGATGAACCCGCAAGGTGCGTTGGAGGAGTTCCGGTTCCCTTTGAGCTGTGCCTGTTTCGGCAGGAGCATCACCCGGATCCGTCCCAAGATTGAGCGCCGGTCAAGCCTGCAAACCTTTGATCGTTTGGGTCACCGATTCATGTCGCTGACCCTCGGGCAGCATTTGGGAGCGCGCGCGCGTGTGTGTGTGTGTGTGTGTGTGTGTGTGTGTGTGTGTGTGTGTGTGTGTGTGTTGACCCCTTGTTGGTGGTTTCAAAAGGAAGGCCAAAAGGAAACTCAAATTTGGTTGTTCCCCCCTCAAAAAAAACACCCATCGAATGGGGCTGCTTTCATTCTGTTTGGTGGGTTGGCAGAGAAAGGAGGGACCACGAATGTAGCCAATGGTTTGAATCCATTTGCTTAGGATCGAAGAAGTTTTCTTCAGCCAGTGGCAGGTGGATACGGTCACGGCTGGTTCTTGTTCTTCATTGATCGGGCACCTGCTCCTGCAATGGGAATTTGGAGGTTGAACTGTCATCAAGGCGTATGCATCATGTCCTGTCATTTGATTGTATTTCCAGG